TGCGAGATATTATTTGTAATAATCCAATGAGCAATCTTATCTGCTAAATTAATGTTACTCTGCGACTTAAATATATCTTTATTAACATTAAAATGTATTTGTTTATTTTCAGAAGAGTTGCAAATTAAATTAATAGTTTTATATTCATCATTGGTACTACTATTGTTGCAAACTAAATTATCTTCATATCCATCAGTACTACTATTATCTGTGTTTAAAATATTTTCATTATATTTTAATTTATTAAATTTTTCAGTATTAAAAAAGTGCTGTATTTTATTAACATGCAATAGTAATTCATCTCTGTTAGTCTTAGAATATTCATTATTAATGATTCTACGAAAATGTCTATTTGTAACCTTCGATATATCTTTTTTCTTCCTCTGAGATATCTAGAATAAAAACAGAATATAAATAAATATTGCACGATAAAAATGATCTATTTTTATATGATGTATATTTTCTAACACATTGTAAACAAGTAATATAATAAATTGAAGTGTAATCGATTTTTAGGGTTAGGATGACTCATACAATTTTTGTAACTTTTCTTATAACTTTATGACGTGTTAAAATATATACGTAAGAAATTCATTACAAAATATACTCTTCCATAATCATTTCTATATAATGTGGACATATAAATACATACCGAACTTGATGATGTTGATGGTTGGCTCGAATGCTCACGTGTATTATTTTTGCACGTCGTATTATTAGAACTCATTTTGCACTGACACAAATGTTTATAGATACAAGAAAAAGAAAATGTCAAAGTAAATATAGTTTAACAGTACGTAAAAACGCAATGAAAATGCAACGACACACAGCACTGCGAACAACGACACGCTTTGTATAGTTAATCCTCAACGCTCTGCGAATTGTATGTATGTACCACGAGGTAAGGCTGCGTTTGCTTTGACTGCTCACGCGCTGAAAGCATCATTCTATCTTTGTTGCTCATCGTACATCATATATGCAATAATAACTATTGCAATAATTCATTCATTCACATTTTAAAATTAAAAATTGAATATATATCTTTTAAGGTTAAACAAAAAGGCCAACGGAATAACTACTCAACGCAGTTATTTGCGTAAAAATATATGTATTCACATTTCAAATACAATTTTTACGCAATGTTCATAAATGTTACAATTGAAACATTTCATAATAAATTGTACTGTGAAAATTTCAAACATATCATGATTTATATGTATCTTAAATATTTCGAAATATATGTTTCGCAAATATTTGTGATATAATAGTGAAATAAATGTATCAAAATTAACAAATCATACATTGCAACTTTGAATTGTTTTAAAGATATATTTACTGTAACATTACTTTAGAAACATTTATAATATAAGTAATTGTGAAATTTTTCAATAGTAATGTTTATGAAATATGTCATAAACATACAAATGGAATGTATTATTTGAAACCTATATGAAACAATTTGAAATGTTACATATACATTTCATGTATAGTGGGAAGTCGTCTAAAAGGACTACTAAAACTGGACATATTTTTGTCAAGGACATCTTTTGGCTGTAGCATTTAGTCGCCGAAATGATGACTAATAGCTGTCGGATGCGACAAATTGTGTCACTTCCAAGCCTTGTCCATATGATAACTAAAAGAAGACTACTTATAGATATCTTTTAGTAACCTTTAAGGCTTTTTTTAGACATCTTTATAGATTCTTTTTAGATATTTTTTAGTCATCTTTAAGATTAATTAAAGGTCTTAATTTTAGGTAAGCGTTATATGGTTTTATTATGTTTACTTAATATTAAAATAAAAATATATTTTTTTAAATTTATTCAAATTAATTTTTTTAATTATAAATGTCACAATCGAAGTTCAAAAAAAAATAATACTCGCGTTTTTTACATATTTAAAACGCTTCCAAAATGGCACCGCGCCGTGACTGCGCTAGCTGATTGTTGTCATATAACATATCGACGCACACATAAAAATAAATAAAATAACATTTATATAAGCACTCGTTTGTTCGCTTTTCTATTAAACTTACACTTACAATTTAAGTAAAAACAAAAACGAGACAGCTGTTTATTGTTAGGGGACAAGGGAATTTCGTACAATTTCATCTCTCATCATTCTATCAGTATACATATATAGTAATGATGGGTAAATGAAAAAATGAGCTCCCTTAAATACTTAAAAACTCGCGCCTTCCTTAGACGATAAAATTATTGCATAATAATAAACATTTATTAATGAGGATTAAGATGCTTTTAAAAAGCACATCTTTTTGATAGATCTAGAAAAAATAAAATAAAAAATCGAAAAAAATAAGCAAACAATCAACGAGAAAGCGGACGAGTTTTTTTTTTACTCAAAAGATTTTTATTCACATATCGCGATACTATTTAAGCGTTTCATCTTGAAAGATATTATCAGTCTTTTTTCACGCGTTATTCATATCTCTCGTAATCTGTTCAACAATAAACAACTGTCTCAGAATTGAATCTTGTATCACAGAGCAGTTCGTATTCTGCCACAAAAGGTTTCTCATCGGATGACTTTGCCGCGAATCTGCTCGGGCCTTTATGTATGGTAATGTCTCAAAATCTCATACTCTCCCGTCCGACGTTCTTTTTTCTTCTCTTCTTTTCTACATAGCTCGCTCTCTTAATGTAAAGTATAAAAAACTATTTACACAGGTGCACTTCCGTTGCGCTCTTATATGTTAACTAACAAGTAACAACGGTACATTAGTTATCTTCATCAGCCACCATTCATAAAATACAATTATTTTGTTGTTTTTTTAACTGATATCTATATATGTCTCCTGCTCTTCGTAACCACTCAGAAAATTTACTTTTTAAAATGTAAAAATTTGTTGAACTGTATATGTTTAAAATAGTGCCTGAAAAAAATTTTTATTATCAAATATATTTTAAAAATCAATTTTTATATTTAACAAATTTGATTTTATACAATCACCTATAATAACATTTGCAAAATCCGAGTTTTTTATCCCCTCTGTCTGACGTTGACCTTCCCATGTTAAACGTGTGGCAAATTTATTTGTCAGAGTTGTAACCAAACAATTGACCAGATGACTTTCTGCTGATTTCCCACCTATACTACGTATCTTCTTTTGCTATAACATTTTGAATAAAAAATATTAGTTTTAAATATGTATTCTCCTCCTTATCTTAATAAAAATAATTTTAAATTAATTTAACTTGTGCTTTAACAAATGCTTAAACTTACAAATTGCTTTCGTAACTCTTTGTTTTCATGTAAATCATTACAAAACTTTTTAAATTTTTGCATAGAATTTAACGAAAGCTCGGGTAATAAATCCAAAGAGCAATTCGTTAATAACAAAGGAGTTTGCTAATCAAGAATTCCTAGGATTGAATCCAATTATCGATTTATAACCGACATTGAATCTAATTTTCGATTCATAGCCAAGTGTTGCGCCGATGATCTGGTGAGGCTTGTGATGTGGTATGTAGGTCGAGAGAACTACGTCTGTCTTGATAGAATTGCACTGAATATAATTTATTTGGAGAAATTAATACAGAGGAACGTATGGCTTCCTTGCTATCGCCGCCATTAAATCTAAGACCCCCTTGTGATCTACCATTACTACTACTCGATGCGCACAGATGGCGCCGCTAGAGCGCCGGTGTATTCCAAAACGGCGCCAACATTCTGCCCCCCTTGAAAGGCATAGGCTTACAACATAAAAAAAACTGATGTATCAACCACAAGCCACTATATGACTTGTGAAAATAAAATTTTAAGAATAAAAAATAAAATAAAAGACACAACACAGCTGTGCCATACTGTTAATACTATAATAACGCAGTCTTACAAACTTAATATCTACTAGAACAGCCGCATTATTGCATCACAAGAACTTAATATCTACGAAAATATTAATGTTTGTTTGAAAGTTAGAGTTATATTTGTACATTGTCTTCGATGGGCAACACGCACAGTTTAGTTATTGCACGCTTGCATAGCCCACGACTAGTTCGAACCGTGACTATTCTTGTAATTCCATCTGTTCCGGGATGTACTTCTACAATTCGTGCCAACGGCCATGTCATCGGACATGTGTTTTCATTTTTTAATAATACCATCATTCCTTTACTTAAATTTATGGTACCTTCTTGTTTTCATTTAATTCGTTGTTGCAATTGCACAATGTACTCTTTTGACCATCTGGTCCAAAAATGTTGTCTCAACTGTATAATTAATTGATAACGCGTCAAGCGATTTGTCGAAACGTCACTAAGATCATGTTCCGGAATTGTGTTCATAGCTTCCCCTATCAAAAAATGACCAGATGTCAAAGGCTGTAGATCTGTCGGATCATTTGATAATTGAGTGAGTGGCCTTGAATTTAAACAGGCTTCTATCAAAGTAAATACTGTATATAACTCTTCAAAAGTTAATGTTACGGTTCTAATAATTTTACGCATGTGAGTCTTGGCTGATTTCACAGCTGCTTCCCACAGCCCGCCTATATGAGGTGAATATGGAGGAATAAATTTCCAATCAATGAAATGTTCCGCTAAATACTCATGAATTTGATTTTGAGTCGTTTCTTTTATTAGATAATTTTTTAGTTCCGTAAGTTGATTATTAGCGCCTACAAAGGTGGTGCCATTATCCGAGTATAAAGCTATACATTTACCTCTACGAGCAATAAATCTTTTCAATGCGTTAAGAAATGCTGTTGTAGTTAAATCCGAAACTAGTTCAAAATGTACTGCCTTTGTAACAAGACAAATAAAAATAGCTAAATATGCTTTGCTCGTTTTATTGCGCGATATTTTAATTGTAAATGGACCTGCATAATCTAATCCTGTGTGTAAAAATGCACGTATTTGTTGAGTCACTCTCACAGCGGGTAAATTGCCCATTAATTGATGTGCGACTGTTGGTTTTGCTCTAAAACATACTATGCAAGACCTTAACACGCGACGTACCGCTTCTCTACCTGAAATAGGTCAATAATTATTACGCACCATCATTAATATCGCTTGTGATCCAGCGTGTAAATTCTTATAATGTGCATCTCTAATTATTAATGTAGTGAGGTGATGTTTACTAGGCAAAATAATGGGATGTTTTTGAGAATATTCTATAGTCGCATTACACAACCTTCCCCCCACACGAATGATGCCCTCCTCGTCTAAAAACGGATTTAATGTTAACAATTTGCTTTTAGATTGCAGCCGCTTTTTATTGCTTAAATTATGTAGTTCTTCTGCAAAACTATGATCTTGACAATCTTTGATGAGTCTTTTCATGGCATGTTCTAACTCCTCTACGGTTAATAATTTTGATTGTTGAGATGTATTTTGAACACTCCTTTTCGCAAGACGTAGACAATACGCAGTAACTCTCTTCAGTCGTGATAATGACGAAAATCGTTCGATGATAGCCATATATTCATTCGCTTCTTTAAGAACAAGTAAGTTAGTTGTGCGTTTTTCTGCTATGTCTTCGTGAATGTTTTCTGCACTAAATGGTACAAATACTGAATTATGCTGTAAGAATTGTGGGCCTTCCCACCATATTCTTTTCTCTTTTAATTTTGCTGGACTGACTCCTCTCGACAATAGATCCGCAGGATTATCTTCCGACCGAACATGATACCATTGTGCGTTCTTCGTTTCACGCTGTATCTCGGCCACTCTATTGGCTACAAATGTTTTCCAATGTGTAGGCTCTCGTGCTATCCATGCAAGGACTATAGTGGAATCAGTCCAATAATATACTTTATGTATTTGTATTGTCAAGGATTGTAATACATTTCTAACTAGATTGGCCAATAAAACTGCGCCGCATAATTCCAGTCTTGGTAATGACACTCTTTTAATAGGTGCTATACGTCATTTAGCACATACTAATCTAACAGTATAATTTTCTCTCGAATTAGTAGTACGAAAATATAAGCATGCTCCATATGCTTTTTCCGATGCATCACAAAACCCATGTACTTCTATTTCTTCAGGATTATCACAAAGCATTCTTCTCGGAATTGTAAGCTGTTCTACACTAAAAATCTGTGACTTCCATTGAAGCCACATATCTTTAATTTCCGTAGTAACTCCTTCATCCCATTTACATTTTGATTGCCACAGGTATTGCATCAGTATTTTACCTTGTACTATTATGGGGTCTAATAATCCGAGCGGATCATATATCTGTGCAATATTAGCTAATATAATACGTTTAGTTGTTTTATTCTTACTAATATTTAATTTTATTTGATATTGAAAGGCATCAGTCTTAGTATTCCATAACAAGCCGAGAATTTTCGTCGATTTGTTCGATGTAATTTGTCTTTCTTCATTGTCAAATTGATCACAGATTTGTGCAAGATTGGAGATCCATTTTCTCAATTCAAATTTTCCAGAACTTAAAATATGTATAATCTCTTGTTTCAGTTGTATAAGTTCCCCTATTGTATCCGCTCCCGTTAATAGGTCGTCCACATAGAAATCTCTTCGTATTGTTTCACCAGCATTTTGATATTTAGATATCATCTGTTGTGCGACTTCCTGTAAACATCGAATTGCCAAAAATGGTGAACTCGTCATACCATAAGTAACTGTATTGAGTTCAAATGTTTGTACAGGATCTTTCTTGTCCCATCTCCATAAAATACGTTTGAATTTGCGATCTGGCGATACATTTTGGCAATGTCGGCTGCCATGGCATATTTATGTTGTCTTAGACGAATTATAATATCAAATAAACTATTTTGAAGAATTGGCCCTAGCATGAGTATATCATTCAAGGATTTTCCAGATGATGTTTTACATGACGCGTCGAAGACGACTCTTAGTTTTGTCGTTGTACTATCCTCTTTTGTTACAGCATGATGCGGAATATAGTAAGCTGGCTTATTATGTTTTTCTTCGATCTGAACTTCACTCATGTGGTGCAGCTTTAAATATTCCGCCATGAATTCATGATACTGAGCCTTTAATTCAGATTGCCTTTCCAGCTTTCTTTCTAATGCTTTAAAACGTTTTTCCGCAATAATATATGATTCTCCTAATTCTTCTGCTGTATCCTTTAGCGGTAGTTGTACTATAAAACGACCATCTGTATCTCTACGATGAGTAGAAATAAAATGCTCTTCGCACTGTTTTTCTTTAGACAAACGATGTGGCGGGACTTCAACTTCCTCGATCGTCCAAAATTTTTCTAATTGTTGCTGTAAAGCGCTAGTAGATAATCCACAATATAATTTATTATTGCGTTGTTTTTTGTCATTGATGGGAATCGCGCCAGATATTATCCATCCTAGTAATGTTTCCTGAAAAATAGAAGTATTTTCTGCAGGTCGTATTTGTCTCATGCACATTAATTCCCAAAAAATGGAAGCGCCTAATAATGCGTCTATTTTCCCAGGTGTACAAAAAGTTGGATCCGCTAGTTTTATTTTTGGTGGTATGTCGAATTTGATTTGACTTATTTTAATTGTTGGCAAATATTCCGTTATTTGATTAATTATTATAAATGGAATTGTAAATTTTGCTGAATTCACTCGTGATTCGATGGTCGCTTGAATCGTCTGAATAGCTCTAATCGGAGTGTTACTAATACCTTTGATTTTAAGATCAATAGTTTTGTGTGTTAAATGCAAGCGTTCACTAAAATTTTTTGTTATGAAATTAGATTGCGATCCGCTATCAAGAAGAGCGCGACATTCGTGTGGGTTGCCGTGAGAATCGCGTATGTAAATAATAGCAGTAGCAAGAAACACATGAGTAACATCTCTAACGCTATAATAATTGAGAACAGTATTTACTGTGTCTGTGTTATTCGATTCAACTTTTTCTGATGATCTTTTACCTGGTGAATCAGTTATGTGTAAAAGTGTATTATGATAACCTTTACATGTTTTACAATTAGATGCCTTGCAACTTCGACCATGAAATTCTCTAAAACACTTTATGCACAAACGTTTCTTTTTTACTTCGGATATCCTATCCCTAACTGGCATTTTAAGAAATGCTTGACATTCACGTAATCGATGATTACCTGAACACAGTACGCACGATAAATCGCTTGACGTTACATATGCTTGAGTTACATTCTTAGTATGGCTTGGATAAGCTTTATTATCCCTCCGTACGTGATTACTTGCGCCTTGCAAATTTTGATTCGCCTAATTCACCGCTTCTAAAAAACCACTGCGATTAACAAGATAATCTATAAATTCAGTTAACGTAGGAAACGCTTCTATAACAGATCGCTTGGCTTCCCATTCACGTCGAGATCCTTTGTCAATTTTCGGTAAAATGATATGGATAATTATCGTGCTCCAACTCTCTACAGGTTGGCCGAGTTTTATTAACGACTGTGTATACAGAGAGAAAGATGAGAGCGGCCAGGCCGGCGTTTTGGCTGTTACCGTTTTTACGGGACTGCTTGAAGCGCCCCTCGCACCCGTTTTCAATATCGGAACTAACTGCACACCCATTTTCTGGCAGGGTCGATAAAGTATTTGGTGCGAGTCCGTGCTACGCCCATAATTTTTGTGTTGAGAAACTTGGTGCTAGAATCCATTTCAAGTTCAAACCCTGCTGTTTTAATTTTTTTAATTTCGTTTTTTTTCAAAGGTGTATTCACAAAAGTTATTATGTATAAGAACAATCAATTAATAAATTATTATTTGATAATTATTAAAATTATACGCACATTTTTTAACAATTTTGCTTATGTAACTAAAACTTTATAAGTTTGTAATCAATTTAATATTTTTTTAGTTTTCATAAAAAAATTGTAATCTTTCCTAATTATAAAATTGTTGAAAAATGTGAAATCACTTTAATAATTATAAATTAATAATTTATTACTTTATTGTCTTACACATAATAAAGTATTTGAATACACCTTTAAAAAAAATAGAAAAAAAATAGAAAAAGCAGGTTTTGAACTTGAAAGGTCCAGAATTCTAATTCGTCGTCTCACCCACTCGACTACGCATATTACCTAACGTTCCTTTCTATCAGTACAGTACATTAGGGAGGCCCACAGAAACTTCAACAATTAAATTAAGAGTTTAACTAGGCTCTGTAATATATAAATATAAATTTAACATATATAAGATAGGCAATAAGAGCCAAATCGCGGATGACAGTGCGTTATTCTAAACGAAACTAAATTTTTTCGTTAGAATTAAATACCTGTGCACAAGGCACCAAATTTTTACTTGGACACGGCCAAGATATAAAATTGGAATAATCTCTACAAGAGATTTTTTTTTTTTTTTTTTTTTTTTTTTTTTTTTTTTTAATTCCATGTATCCCCTATTCCCCCTAAAGAAATAAAGTGCGAGAAAAAATATAGATCCGAAAGTCGCAGAATCGGGAATCGAACCCGAGACCTTTCGCTTGCCGGGCGACTGCTCTTCCAACTGAGCTATTCAGATCCTTTCGATTCTATACTTTTCTCTGTTATATATATTAATGTTGGTAAATAAACGCCTTTAAGCCAGCGTGTATAAATTAAGAGTTTAACTAGGCTCTGTAATATATAAATATAAATTTAACATATATAAGATAGGCAATAAGAGCCAAATCGCGGATGACAGTGCGTTATTCTAAACGAAACTAAATTTTTTCGTTAGAATTAAATACCTGTGCACAAGGCACCAAATTTTTACTTGGACACGGCCAAGATATAAAATTGGAATAATCTCTACAAGAGATTTTTTTTTTTTTTTTTTTTTTTAATTCCATGTATCCCCTATTCCCCCTAAAGAAATAAAGTGCGAGAGAAAAATATAGATCCGAAAGTCGCAGAATCGGGAATCGAACCCGAGACCTTTCGCTTGCCGGGCGACTGCTCTTCCAACTGAGCTATTCAGATCCTTTCGATTCTATACTTTTCTCTGTTATATATATTAATGTTGGTAAATAAACGCCTTTAAGCCAGCGTGTATAAATTAAGAGTTTAACTAGGCTCTGTAATATATAAATATAAATTTAACATATATAAGATAGGCAATAAGAGCCTCTCGCACTTTATTTCTTTAGGGGGAATAGGGGATACATGGAATTAAAAAAAAAAAAAAAAAAAAAAAAAAAAAAAAAAAAAAATCTCTTGTAGAGATTATTCCAATTTTATATCTTGGCCGTGTCCAAGTAAAAATTTGGTGCCTTGTGCACAGGTATTTAATTCTAACGAAAAAATTTAGTTTCGTTTAGAATAACGCACTGTCATCCGCGATTTGGCTCTTATTGCCTATCTTATATATGTTAAATTTATATTTATATATTACAGAGCTTAGTTAAACTCTTAATTTATACACGCTGGCTTAAAGGCGTTTATTTACCAACATTAATATATATAACAGAGAAAAGTATAGAATCGAAAGGATCTGAATAGCTCAGTTGGAAGAGCAGTCGCCCGGCAAGCGAAAGGTCTCGGGTTCGATTCCCGATTCTGCGACTTTCGGATCTATATTTTTCTCTCGCACTTTATTTCTTTAGGGGGAATAGGGGATACATGGAATTAAAAAAAAATCTCTTGTAGAGATTATTCCAATTTTATATCTTGGCCGTGTCCAAGTAAAAATTTGGTGCCTTGTGCACAGGTATTTAATTCTAACGAAAAAATTTAGTTTCGTTTAGAATAACGCACTGTCATCCGCGATTTGGCTCTTATTGCCTATCTTATATATGTTAAATTTATATTTATATATTACAGAGCCTAGTTAAACTCTTAATTTATACACGCTGGCTTAAAGGCGTTTATTTACCAACATTAATATATATAACAGAGAAAAGTATAGAATCGAAAGGATCTGAATAGCTCAGTTGGAAGAGCAGTCGCCCGGCAAGCGAAAGGTCTCGGGTTCGATTCCCGATTCTGCGACTTTCGGATCTATATTTTTCTCTCGCACTTTATTTCTTTAGGGGGAATAGGGGATACATGGAATTAAAAAAAAAAAAAAAAAAAAAAAAAATCTCTTGTAGAGATTATTCCAATTTTATATCTTGGCCGTGTCCAAGTAAAAATTTGGTGCCTTGTGCACAGGTATTTAATTCTAACGAAAAAATTTAGTTTCGTTTAGAATAACGCACTGTCATCCGCGATTTGGCTCTTATTGCCTATCTTATATATGTTAAATTTATATTCAACAATTAAATTTTATTAATTATATATATATATATATATATATATATATATACATACAGGGTGTTTCATTTTAATTTCCCCAGGCAAATATTTCGGAAAATAATAAAAAATCGAAAAAATGTTTGAGACAAAAGTTGTATGATTTCTAGGGGGACATAAGATGGTGTTATTAGTTTGACCTTGAAAAGTTACATGAAAGTTACGTGAAGATCATTTTGAATTTCTTAAATGGAATACCCTATATATTTTTGCATATTCCTGTAGCTTATGTTGAAAGCTTTCCAAAACACTATAAATAAATATTTTTTCATCAAGTACTTTTCGAGTTATAAGGTTTGAAGTTGACAATTTTTTTACATAAAATGTAAAATATCTTGTAAAACATTTAGTTTTCGCTAATCTTACCTTAACACTTTTATGCACAAAATAATGAGACCAAATAATTATTTAAAAAAGTATGTAATATGCAACAATGCAACTGCATACTTATTTACTTTAAAAGCAACTATTTGTTTTGTTTATACCAATTAATTGATCTCATTATTTTGTGCATGAAAGTATGAAGGTAAGATTATCGAAAACTAAATGTTTTACAAGATATTTTACATTTTATGTTAAAAATTGTTAATTTCAAACCTTTATAATTCAAAAAGTACTTGATGAAAAAATATTTATTTATAGTGTTTTCGAAAGCTTTTAACATAAGCTACAAGAATATGCAAAAATATATAGGGTATTCCATTTAAGAAATTCAAAATGATCTTCACGTAACTTTCATGTAACTTTTCAAGGTCAAACTAATAGCACCATCTTATGTCCCCCTAGAAACCGTACAACTTTTGTCTCAAACATTTTTTCGATTTTTTATTATTTTCCGAAATATTTGCCTGGAGAAATTAAAATGAAACACCCTGTATATATATAAATATATATATTTAACACGAGTTATTGTATCTTGTATTAGTGGAAGAGATGTGTAATAATTAATAATTAAAAGTTAAGCAATATTTAGGAAGACCGAGATTGTTTCCTTGTGAAATTACACACAATAAATTTTGTCCTCCTTTACATTGTTAGAAAATGTTTGAAGCGCTATCATTTCCCCACCATCTTGCGGTAGATAGCATGGTGCGCTTTTTTTATAGCGGATTCCCCAATAGGCCTAATCCACTATTTTTATGTAATGCATGAAGCAAAAGTTGTTGCATAAGCTGTAATTTATGAACAATTAATTTTATTAATAAATATATTAAAACTGTAAATATTAATATAACTGTTATATACTTAACACAACTGTTATATACTTAGCATTTACTTAATAATGTTATTTTATTATAATTATGTAATGAAATGTTTTTTTACGTAGGACACATTCAAGAAATATAAATTTTTCTTACTATAAAAATGATAACTACATAACTTATTTTAATAAATACATTTTTTAAATTAATATGACTATATAATTCATTGGCATATGAATAAACATGCAAGAAGATCGCAAATAGTTGAAACAATTGCATAAGAGATTGAGCACAATAAAATAGAAAATGGATAAAAGAATTTATTTATTCTGCGTTACTAAATTGCATTTCATGTTTGATATTGAACTATTCCTTATTTCCCGTTCTTATTTTCTGTTTTTTATACTTTTTTCCTTATTCTTTTTATTCTGCGCAGATCCCAAATGTCAGACTATTAAGTCTTATCTAATCTACATTAAATCTACACTAATAATCTACACTGCATGCTGTAGATTTCCTTTAAATAATTATATTATTCATATGCTTTTGGTGTCTCTTTTTCCCAACATGCGTGTGTATTTGAGAACATCTTTTTTGTTATATAGTCTTCATCTGTTTTATTCTTATTTTTGTTGAATACATTTTATTATTTATATCGCTCATTTGTTGCAGCAATCAGGGCCGTGGAGAGAAAAACCGGGCCCGGGAAAAAAAATTACGGGCCCCCATTTTGTGTAGGTATTATCGAAATAAAAAAAGAATGCAGGGAAAGAAAGATCAACGGGTCGAATCAGTAAATCGAATACGTTATAAACATCTTTAACTAAATGCTTGCAAATTTCTTTCGTTTTTTTTTATTTTATAGATTTGCCAGATATTTGCAAAACACATTTTTTTGCAAGAAAATAATATAACATATTATGAAATAAAGCTTAGGTTAAATGTTAAATGTTTATTATAAATGCGCTTTCCGTGCTTTGGCTAAGGCAAAAGCGTTAATTAATATTTTAAAATCTAACTGCCTCGCCAATTCTGATTCTAGGCAAAGAGTGCCTAATCCTGTTACACGCGTTTGTGTAGAACAGGAGCGATGAAAGTTTTTAATCCTGGACAGTATGCTAAAAGAACGCTCACCACTAGCAACAGATACTGGCAGAGTACAAAATATTCGTAAAGCTACACAAATATTTGAAAACAGTGTATCTAGCTTATTAGAAGTAATAGCTTTTAACAAATCAAATGGAGAGGGATCGGCTTCAAAGTTTGCTTTGTAGATGTGTTTTAGATGGATTATTTCATCTATTAATTTTTAGACACATCAACAGCGTATTTCTTAACAAAATTAGTGGCGTCGACCCGAATGTCCTCTTCATCTAATGTTGTAAATTTCCACAAAAAAGAAAAAGTGTTATTCAAATCATTCATAGCTGTAAATCGATTAGAAATTCCTGCAATAACTGAATCTACAATTACAAAGAAAGTATTTCTTTTAAAATCGGTTTCTTCGTCAGTAGTGGTACTGGTGGAATCTTCATCCTCACTTTTGGAAAATGTCTTAGCTCGTTTATTTTTTTTTTTATTCGCAGACAATATTGACGAAGTACCTTTTAACCCACTTGCGACTAGTTCACATTCGCGTAAAATGGCATCCCATTGATTTCGTATTTGCTGCATATCCGAAAGTAAACTTTCAAGATTTTTAACTTCGACGTCAATTGTAGCATTTCTAGCCTGTAGAACGATGCTTCTTTCATTGATGGCATTTAGAATTTTTGACCAGATAGATGCCATCAAGATACATTCAAATTTACAAATGTATTTTTGAATTCCACTAACATCTCTACGAGTTTCCGCGGTCAAATTGAGTGTCTTCAAGTCTTCTAACGCACTTTGAAGTCCAGGAAGATGATTTGCAAAAGGTTTTACAGCGTCAATTCTGGCGGACCATCGCGTCTCAGATAAGCTGTGAAGTGAAGATCCAATTTTATTTTTAAAATTTCCCAACGCTGCCGGACTGCTGCTGAAAATGATGTAGCATTTTTGAACGACGCCGAAAAACGTGATGGCTTTGGAACAACACTCGGCAGAATCTACTCCACATAGATTCAAACTGTGGCCGGAACAGGGTGAATAAACAGCAAGTGAATTATCTTGAAGAATGTAGCTTTGTGCTCCTTTATATTTACCTTTCATATTACTACCATTATCGTAACCTTGTCCGCGGCATTCAGTCAAAGGAATGTTATGTTTTTTAAAGTGTCACGTATCAAATCAGCAATAGCCGCACCAGTTTTCTTATTACAATCAACAAACTCTAAAAAACGTTCTTCAATCGTATACTTTTTTTCTTCTGGATTTAAATGAACATAGCGTAAAATAAAAGTAGTTTGTTCAACGTGAGCGGAATCGGGTGTGGCGCGACAATTAAGGAATAATATTTTGCCTTTTCTCGTTCTTTTAATATGGCCGATACTATATGACGAGCACAGAGATCTATAAATTTGTTTTGTATGTCTGGCGAAAGATAATGGCATTGCAGACGCTGGTGCTGTTGTTGAGACGTCTTCACTTTTCCAAATGCTCGTGTAATACCGGATCGTAGTGGCTAATCAATTCTAAAATTCCCAAAAAATTCCGTTGTTCGCTTTCCAATAAGGTGGCTTTTCCCTTCAGTGCTAAACCTCTTTCTCCCAGAAACAAAATTGTATCTAAAATACGTGTTAAAATTTCTTGCCATTTTAACTTCACCCTTGATTGGTTTACACAACAGCTTGTCAATTGAAGATTCATTTCGGATACTCATTTCCAGTCCACGCCACTTCACATAACACTGAATGTGATCTTTATTATTCTCATGTGGCTGCAGTCTTTCGTATAACTTTTTCCACGCCAGATTTTTGGAATATCCGCCGGAGAACAAAGATAAGAACGATTCACTGTGTTTTGTACTAAATAACCGACACGGAAGACAAAATAAAGCACTCTTACTGCGGCTCCAAACAACCAATCGCGTTCCATCTTTTCACCATTAGGCAAGTTTTTGAACAGCAGCGATACGGGAAACCGTTCGTTTAACCGATCACGAGGAAAAGCAGAAGGCATTTTTCATGGCCTCTGCGAATCACTTCATCAACTAGTTGTGGAAGTAAAAAATCAGTTTCTATAGTACCAATGTCATAGTCGTGAAGATGTCTAGTCAAGTGCATTTGAAATGTTGGTTGCTCTTCTGATTCGCGTTCTGTGGATGTGGACTTTTGAATCGTTGCAACAAAATTTACATCAGTTTCTACAGACAGATTTTCTTGCACTAGTTGCACTAGATCAGACAAAACAAAAGTAACAATTGTTTCAGCTGGTTACAATCTGGTTCAGTTGTCGTGGACGAAGAAGTACGCGGAAACGACTGACTATCTCGCCTTTTAGTTGAATCATGACTTTGATTTGCGCTGACATCTAAATTTTCCTTAAGGCGAAAATTAAAATCAGGAAGAGTTGCCTGTCCTCTTTCTGCAATTAAATTTCTCTGTTCGCGATCTATGCGTTCTTTTCGCTTTAGCGAACCAGATTTGTGATGATAGAAATAGGACATTTCTACATTTTATTCACCTAAAAATCAACAATAATAATTTTAACAATAGTAGCATTGCAAAAAAGAACGAGAATTAAAAGATCCAAAACAAAAATATGAATAAAGGCAAATTTACTTACCTGCATGTCAAGATTCGAGAGAACAAGCACAGAGCACAGACAGGACAGATGCTATGAAGAGACGAACGCAGTGGCAATAAAACACGACGCGACGCGTATAAACAAAAGCGCATCTAAATCTTCGACGTGGCGATAAAACACGACGCGACGCGTAGAAATAAAAGCGCATCTAATTCATCTAAACACGATTTTTCGACGCTTGCTTATAAATACGGAAACTACAGAACTGCCCAGATAGCAAAATATTCTTTAAAAAGCCAACTTTTGCAGGTATTTCATTCCGCTGCTGTGCCTATAACTTATATCTACTTCTATTAATTCTTGCAATTCATTCTTTGGTTTGTTTAAATTATATAAATAATTTTTAGATCTTGTATAACGTAGTACTTTGATTTTATAAAACATTTTCGAAAAATTATTTTTTTATATATCTAGTTACATAAATTTATTTATTCTTAATCTATATTAATTTAGATAAAATTTTTACAAAAAACAAGAAACTATGTTTTGAAAACAATGAGCATTTAGAAAATTCGGATTGTCGAAAATTTCGGGCCCTTTAAAAAAATCCGGGCCCGGGGAAATCACCCCGTCACCACCCCTTTTCTCGTCAGCCCTGGATATATGCATATTTTCATGTATTTTTCAAAGGAAATATACAATCTACCATATATATATATATATATATATATATATACAAGGTGGTTCAAAAGTCCGGCAACGATCAATTATGTCCAAGAAATAGTGGTCTTATAAATAAAATATAAAAATTGCAGGGTTCAACCCGGGAAAAATTTTTTATATATAATTATATCTAAATAATTATATAATTATACATAATTATATGTGAAATATGTTTATTTATATATAATTAAATTTATTTATATATAAATTATGAATTCATGTATAATCTCATGTCAAGTTATATATGAAACATTATATATATTTATATATGTGAATACTTATTTATTATATATACAATATATATATATATATATATATATATATTTATATAAGTATATGTATATAAAAAGCTTTTTATCTAATTATATATAGACATATTTCATATTTAATTTTGCAATTATATGTATAATTTTATATATTTCTATATAATTTTATATTGTTATATATAAAAATTGTTTCTAGGAAAAATAAGATATTTTATGGTGACTTTGACTTTGACGTAGGGGTCAAATTTAGAGGTCATTTCAAGATCAACTTTTATTAAACAAAACCCTCTATTTTTATTAGATATTCTTGTAGCTTATCTCGAGAATTTTCCAAAACACTAATAAAATATTTTTTGATGTACTTATTGAGTTATAAAGATTTGAAGTAAACAATTCTTTTATAAAATTGACAATATCTTGTAAAACATTCAATTTTCATTATACATTTATACTTTTTATGCACGGAATAATAAGACCAATCAATAGGTGCAAAGAAAACACAGTTGCAAAAGACGTATGTAGTTTTCAAGAAGCAACTGCCCAGCAAACATTATAATTGCTATATAACACGTAAATAACGTGCATGTAACATGTAACATACACGTTAGTTGTAATTTCCCACTTATGGATTCTATTATTTATTGTAATTATAGATAGGATAGTGACTTAGCGAAAGATTATCTTTCCTACAATATCGATGCTATCTGGGATGTAATTACAATATATAAATAACATATGTCATATTACAAATGTTACATCTATGAATGAGAAATTACCGTATATGTTACATGTAACATGCACGTTATATAGTATTATATACATGTAACATAGCAGTTATATTTTGTGTTTGCTGGGTGCATTTTCTTTACAACCAAATTGGTCTCATTATTATGTGCATAAAAATAAAAAGTATGATAACGTAAAACTGAATATTTTACAAAGATATAATTTTATGTCAAACAATTGCTTCGAATCTTTATAATTCAAAAAGTACTTCATGAAAAAATGTTTTATTATAATGCTTTGGAAAGCTGTCGAGATAAGCTACAAGAATATCTAATAAAAAATAAAGGTTTTTAAAAAGTTGACCTATAAATGATCTCAAAATTTGACACCTAGGTAAAAGTCAACACCTTTAGTATTTTTTTATAAGACCACTATTTTCGGAGATAATTGGCCATTGCCAGATTTTTTAATCACCATGTACATATTATATATATGTTTATGCATGGATATATGCATCTATATACATGTATATATATGTATATATTTCTTACATATATAAATGCATGCATAAATGCATACATATACATATACAAATACATATACACATACATGTATACACATACGTGTATGGTATAAGCATACGTGTATGGTACGTATATTGATATTACCTGTAATTTTCTATAAATTACAATGTATGCAGTACGCACAATTCGCTTTTCTTCTCTTATCAATAATTGAGAAAATAGCAAATATATTCAAATAACTAGCTGTATATTTTTATATAATATAACAGAATATTATATAATATACAAAACATTTTTATGCATATATAGAATGAAATGGGCCCCTCCATCGCCCATTCCCGTGAGAACGCAACCATAATATATGTATTTTTTTCGTCTCTCCGATTTTGCAAATGAGACATTTGTATTAGACACTTTTTTGCAACAATATTTATTAGAATTACACATTTCTAGTATAATGATAAAATTTTATTAGTTAGGAAAAGGTGACAGTTTATTTTCTGCTATTATTTTTAAGAAATGTTGTCTCATACGTTTAACATCAGCAGAATATGTCTCATTACAAGGATTTTCTCCTAAAGCTATAGTTGTAGCAAATGCGGCAGCAAAGATTCCACAACATATACCATCAGGTTGTGTTTGAACGTTTTCAAATATTATATTATTTTTATATATTTGTGAATAACGGCGATGAATGTAATTTTTTTCTTTAGCCTTCAATGTTTCGTATGTACAGCCAGATAGATTGTCGTACACTCGAAGCTTGGTGTCGTCAAAAGAAATACATCGCCAGTGATTACTGCAATTTTCTCCAATAATTTGTAAGCTTTTGTCGTTACAACTTGCTTCAATTATATGAGGATATAAAATATCTTTTTTTAATAACTAGAACGCACATGCAAATCGTTCTGGGAGAGAGATATTTTAGAAGCAACTAACAGACGAATAAATCGTCTCTGATGTAAAATATCTTTTTTAATAACCAGAACGCACATGCAAATCGTTCTGGGAGAAGATATTTTTAAAGCAACTAGCAAACGAATGAATCATCTTTGGCATGAAATATCTTTTTTTGTTAGTACTGCAACTTTATAACTATTATTATTACTATTGTACTATTGTAACTACTATTTATTATTGCTATAATATTTCTACTACTAACAACTATTTAAAATAAGCAAGAGACTGCTTTATTTTTCAGAAATTGTTACTTTTAGAAATATGTATATATATATTATGTAAAAAAAATTATAACAATTGAACCCCATAAATATTGAATAAGAATGAAGGAGGTGTCATTAGAATATCGCAAAAATTTTATAGATGAAGAAAATCTTGCAAATTTTAGAATCATCTTTATTTTTCGAATGATCTCAAGAATACAAAGTTTCACTGTGGATATCACGTTGCAGGACATCCTGCGTATATATACACATACATACATACATTCATATATACATATATATATATATATATAGGGTGTCCCATAATTCGCGAACACCGCGAATGGGCAGATAGAGCGTGTTGAACTGAATAGAAAAGTCCTGTATCATTTTGCGATATTTGCAATAATTATTAAGTTATTTATTAAAATATCTAAACGAATAAGCAGGTAGAAAGCATTATTTGATCGAGAGGCGGCGTCATGCAGCAAGCGGCGACCAATGTAGTGGCGCCGAAAAGTAAGATGATACTTTTGATACTAAGCGGCATATAACAAATAAGTCATCCGACATGCACACCGAGTCCGGCCTACCGCTTTCTACCCGCTCATTCGTTTAGATATTTGAGTTAATAACTCAATAATTATTGCGAATATCGCAAAATGATACAGGACTTTTCTATTCAGTTTAACACGCTCTATCTGCCCATTCCCGTGGTTCGCGAATTATGGGACACCCTGTATATGAATGTATGTATGTATGTATGTATGTATGTGTATATATACGCAGGATGTCCTGCAACGTGATATCCACAGTGAAACTTTGTATTCTTGAGATCATTCAAAAAATAAAGATGATTTTAAAATTTGCAAGATTTTCTTTATCTATAAATTTTTTGCGATATTCTAATGATACCCCCTTTATTCTTATATAATATATATATATATACACACATCACACACACACACACACACACACACACGCGCGCGCACACACGCACACACGCACACACACACACACACCACACACACACACACACATATATATATATATATACAGGGTATCCCAAAAAGATTGGAACACTGAAAAATCTCGAAAAGTATACGTTTTACAGAAAAAAGTTTTAGACAAAAGTTATAAAAAATCTATTCATTGATCTGATCAGTTTGACCTTGGACAGTGTTACCAAGGTCAGAATAAGGTTACCTTAAATTTCTTAGATGGAATCCTATATTTTTTATTACATATTCTTGTAGCTTATCTCGAGGGCTTTCCAAAACACTATAATAAAATTATTTTTCATAAAGTGCTCTTTGAGTTATAAAGGTTAGAAGCTAACAATTTTTTGACATAAAATATATCTTTATAAAATATTCCATTTTCGATAATCATACCTACTTTTTTGCACAGTATAATAAAAAATCAATTTATTAAAGAAAACAGATAATTGAATATGTAATATTCAATATGCAGCAGCATACTTTTTTTATAAGCAACTATGTGTTTTTTTACACCAATTCATTGGTCTCATTATTCCGTGCAAAAAAGATATGATTACCGAAAATGGAATATTTTACAAAGATATTTTACATTTTATGTCAAAAAATTGTTAGCCTTTATAAATCAAAGAGTACTCCATAAAA